GAAAAAACAATATATAATTTGTATGGGAACAGTAAATGAGAGAGCGGAAAATTCCAGCCAAACACAAACACCACAAAAGTGTAAAAATATGCCTGGTCGCAAATGTACAACATCGCAAAAACAGTCCAGTCCTTAAGGGGTTAAACAAACCTAACAAATAGACTGATTAAATAGACTGTTTAAATAAACAAGCAGCATGTAGGATAAACAAAACAACCAAGAGCAGAGACAACTCTGAGTTGGTGAGTGCTCACCTGGAGGCAGCAGCAAAGAAAGAGGAAGTGGAAGAGCCTGCTTAGGGGTTTTATACTACTGTTGCTTTGTTCTGATTGGTTGTTTTGAAAAATTCTGTTAACTGTTTCTTTGCTGCTGGAGGTTTCAGTAAAGAAGGTAAAGCAAATATGAAGCCTCCTGTCCTGCCATAAAATTAGAGCATAATAATGCTAAAATGTTAAGATATATTGTATTGAGTAATCCACAGAGGAAAAAACAAGTAAATGTAATACCTTGAAATCATATGGTAGTTAGATAGGTAGGGCAATGGAGACAGTATAGCATAGTATGAAAGGAGGGCACAGAATGTCCGTTATTCAGTAGCTTAAAAGTTGCTTATTAAATGCATGGGAGTAGTGGAGATAGAATATACACAGTGGTGAAGGTAGTAGAATAGAGAAAGAATCTCCTAATGATACACACTATTCTAAACTCCTATAATCTCCCCCCTTAACACCTTCATGGGTGTTCTATCATTGAAAAACTTGCTAGACACTGTCCCCTTAGACTGCAGCCACTACACTGATGTAACTCCTAGAGAGAAAAACATTTAAACTAACGAAAAAAGAAGAAAAATAAAAAAGTGTGAACGAAAGATTCCCTCGTGCATCGTGGGGTGCTCAGTGAGCGAGGGAAATCAAGAAAGAGAAACCCGACGCGCGTTTCGGAGTACGAGACTCCTTCGTCAGGGGCTGAAAATTGCCGCCCGAACTCCCCCCGGTATTTAAATATAAACTGGCCAATCAGAAGTGTTGGAATAATTTTCGTCAGTGATGACGTGTCGCTTTGCGACCACGTGGGCTTGCTGTGGGCGGAATGTAAAACCGCAGCTTCGAGATGATTGGCGGCTAATCGTCTCCCTCTTCGCTCAAGTCAGAAACGATCTGGAATAAGTTTAAAATATTATAAATGAGCTACAATTATCAGGAGAGTTTAATAATATCTCTCACTGTGAATACTGGATAACTATATACATAAATCTGCTCATAGTTTGTAATTTATTTTCCGATCACTATAAGTATATATAGAGTGATGTCTCTAATTAAAGATATATACACTCCAATCGTTATATTGTCTCAATCACTAGAAAAAGATATTTTCTATTATTTCTTATCACTAAATAGAAGTATGTCCAAGTTGAAAAAGTAGAGATATAAATATAGTAATACTTTTTCTTATCTTTTATATCAAAGTGAGAAAGACAAATAAAGAGAGAAGAAAAATAATAAATTTGTTATTATATGTTCTGGAAAATATTATTTTAGAAACTTTCTAAATAAAGGGAGAGTATGAAAAGCCTTCATTGAGTCCCCTGGGGGACAATGTTTTTAGGCGGTATATCCAATAACATTCACGTCTTCTCAGACGTTGATCCCAATTGCCTTTTCTTTGATCCGGTTTGATTAGTTCAATGCCCAAAAATTTGAGGACATTGGGGTCCCCATTATGGGCTGTTTTGATATGTCTGGAGACAGGAGTTTCAATATTTCAATATTCCTAGCTTTTTTGACTGAATTAATATGTTCGAGAATTCTTTTCTTAAGGGGTCTAAAGGTCTTACCTACATACATGAGATGACATTGACATGTAATCAGGTAAATCACCCCTTTAGAATTACAGTTAAAAAATGACGTAGGTTAAAAATTTTCTGTATGAGTGCTATTGCTGAAGTTTTTTGAGCTTGTGCTTATATGACTGCAAGCTTTACATCTTCCACATCTATATGTGCCTTTGATTTTGTTTGACAGCCAATGTGTTGGTGGTCTATTGGGTTGAAAATGGCTGTGCAATAGCATATCTTTTAAGTTGTTACCTCTTCTAGCTGTTATGGAGGCATATGGTGGGAGAACATCTTTCAGCTGTGCATCTTGTTTTAGAAGAGGCCAGAAGCGGTTCATAATTGTCTTGACCTGATCCCAGCCTGCATCGAAAGAAGCAATGCATCTAAGTTGTTTCTGTTCTACTTTCTTTGGGCTTGAAGGAAGAGCCGTGTTTTCTCTAAGAAGGCTTTCCTGTTCTGTTAGGAGAGCCCTGTGATATGCAAAAAATTATTCCAACACTTCTGATTGGCCAGTTTATATTTAAATACCGGGGGGAGTTCGGGCGTCAATTTTCAGCCCCTGACGAACGAGTCTCGTACTCCGAAACGCGCGTCGGGTTTCTCTTTCTTGATTTCCCTCACTCACTGAGCACCCCACGATGCAAGAGGGAATCTTTCGTTCACACTTTTTTATTTTTCTTCTTTTTTCGTTAGTTTAAATGTTTTTCTCTCTAGGAGTTACATCAGTGTAGTGGCTGCAGTCTAAGGGGACAGTGTCTAGCAAGTTTTTCAACGATAGAACACCCATGAAGGTGTTAAGGGGGGAGATTATAGGAGTTTAGAATAGTGTGTATCATTAGGAGATTCTTTCTCTATTCTACTACCTTCACCACTGTGTATATTCTATCTCCACTACTCCCATGCATTTAATAAGCAACTTTTAAGCTACTGAATAACAGACATTCTTTGCCCTCCTTTCATACTATGCTATACTGTCTACATTGCCCTACATATCTAACTACCATATGATTTCAAGGTATTACATTTACTTGTTTTTTCCTCTGTGGATTACTCAATACAATATATCTTAACATTTTAGCATTATTATGCTCTAATTGTGATTTAGATAATGAGGTGTATCCACATAGGATTTCAGGGTTATAAGCAATTGTTAGACACTGATACATTGTATCCTCTCTACAGTATGTTTAATAAAATTGTAGTTTGTTACTGCTTATGTTAGGATACATGTACATTCAGTGTCTTCTACATTTATATCGGCTTTCCCTGCAGTAATCTTTCCATTGTGGACATTTCTATAGGTATATTTTTATATTAATTGGTGTTCTTTTTCAATTACCAGGTAGATTGGGAGCCCCCCCTTCCTCTCTTTTTTAAAAGGGGGAGCTACCCAATTAATATTTCTCTTTGTAATCATTTGGGAGGTAGTCTGTAAGTGTTCTGCCAAGCTTCGGAGGGCATCTGTAATGTAGATTACCGTAGAGCACTGAAAGAGGTAAAGATAAATCACCATTCCTCCATCAGTCTCCCACGGTGTACCCACAGCGATGGGAACGACTCATAGAATCCAGGCGTGCCCTTGGGGCGCGTCATTGCGGAGGCGTGTCTCTCCTCCTTTAAAAGACCGGGCGGGCACCCGGCACGGTAACTCTCTTGACAAAGACGCCTGAGTGCGTCGAAACGCGCGTCGAGTTAGACGTTCTGTTTCTTTTTACCAGGCTGGGCTTGATGCAGCCTTCGTCTCTCTTTTATATGCAGTCATTATTTTAGGAAGGATTAGTTTAGAATCAGGACTAATGTAATTCACTAGCAATAGATTATGAAACAGGGATATTTTCTCCGAGATAGCTCAGGTGCTCTCAGTACGAATCCGGATAGACTGATGGGATTTGGGGATTTTTTGCTCCTGGTAACTGTGCTAATATATTTCTTCTAATTTTGAAACTTGGATGAGCATTTATTTAACTCTCTTGGGAAACAACTATTATTATTATTCTATTATCATCTATCCTAGGGAACTATTTAACCTTTTGCTCTCTGAGTTTCATATTATATTGAAGACTTTGATAGATTTAAATCAATTATCATTATTCCATTTTCATCTATCCTAGGGAACTATTTAACCCCTTGTTCTCTGAGTTCCATATTACACTGAAGACCCTGATAGATTTAAACTAATTAAGTTAGTATTAAGCTCTTAGTTTGTACTGTCTTCTCTGGCAGTATATCTGGGGGACCTAGGGCTTTAGACTCTAACATTTTGGATCTATGGTATGCCCCAATATTGTGAAAATGTATATATTGTTACTATCTATTGGGCATAGTCTAGACACTTTTTGGAGTATTACTATATATACCCTATTTAAGTAATTTTCAAGTATGACTTAGGTTCCCAAGTCCTGTGTGTGTTTTACCTCACATTTAAAGTCCTGATAGAATGTTTCTTAAATGAAAACTTCTTTGATTATCATAGTTTGTCTGCATCAGCTTACTAATTACTTTTTTATTACCACTGCATACTTATGATTTTGAATATATTAGGAGATTTCGTATAGGCTGCATCAAGTCTTTCCTTTTTTAAGTATCACCAGCACGTTTGATTTTGTAGGTACACCGTGGGAGACTGATGGAGGAATGGTGATTTATCTTTACCTCTTTCAGTCCTCTACGGTAATCTATTTTCTCATCTAATCAATTTAAGGTTTATGACCATTATTACCCACTAAGTCCTTTCTGTTATTGACTTTTGGGTCAATTTCAGGTTTTTTGTATATCTTGCATCTCTAATGTAATTGACAAATTATTGCTGGTTATAGTAGATATAATTGATCCAGTTAACATTCGGTGTTAGCGGTGATGAGTGGGATCAAGGATTCAAATCCTGCCGCCACCTCATCTCTGGCCTTGAACTCATTTGGTACCCCCCCCTTGGTACTCCAATAGCATCGATATATATGTGTGGGTCGAAACTACCATGAATGGGGGTTTCTCTTTTTACTCTAAGATAAGTGTGTGGTGAATCGTGTGGGCCTTGGTGGCATAGGCGTGCGCACGGGATGTGTCGGGTGTGCCTGGGCACACCCTAATCCCCGCGGCATGCCTATGTATTGAGACCGGCAGGGGAGATCTCAGGATCTCCCCTGTCGGATCATGCAGAGACGGCGCTATCCGAGCGCCGGCTCTGCTCTAAGCCTCCCTCCCCATTGCAGGGAGGCAGGAGAGGAGATCTGAGATCTTGCGAGATCTGAGCGTTTCCCCAGGGGCTAGAGTTCACTCTCCATTGTACCACCAGGGAAAGCACAGGTGAGAAGGGAGGGGGGATATTAAGTAATGTATCCCCACCTCCACACACATACAGCACACACACACATACAGCACACGCACACAGCACCTTCACACATACAGCACCCTCACACACATACACCACACAAACACAGCACCCACACACATACAGCACCCACACACATACAGCACCCCCACACACACAGCACCCCCACACACACAGCACCCACACACACACAGCACCCTCGCACACACAGCACCCACACACATACAGCACCCTCAAACACATAGCACCCTTACAAACACACACACAGCACACTAACAGGACCCTTACAAACACCCTCACACACACACAGCACACAAACTGCACCCTCACACACACATCACACTAACAGAACCTTCACACACAGCACCCTTACACATACAACACCCTCATGCAGCACACACACACACACACACACACACACACAGCAGTGTATGTATGTGTGTGTATATATGTGTGTTTGTGCTTTAGGGTGCACACCCTAATGCAATAGGCTGCACACGCCTATGCTTGGTGGTTATCAGAAATTATATATATGGGCATGATAACTTTGGTCAGAGCACATTCTCCCCACCACAGGCCAGTCATTTTTGATCTGAGCTGCATGTCACCATATAGCCAATAAATGTCACCCACGGACTTAACTTGATTTACTAATAGGGCAGTGGGAGGTTCTCGATAAGTGGTACAGCAGCCAGAAGGGAATGTAGCTACAAATTTACCTGAGGCTCCATGTATTGTAGAAAGTGTAGTTACCTGGGTACACAGTGATTCCATCAGGTGGCCTGGTATTCCCTTGGGTTATTGGGTAAACCTTTTTCCATGATTCACACACTGATGAGTTCACTGCTGTCTGAGCATAGAGGCTCAAGAAACACATCTCAACATCTGGGGGTAGATTTAAAGGCACTGTGCCCAGATGGGGTCTGGCCCCACCACAAACATAACAGTTAGTTTTGTTGTGTGAATTAGCATTATACCTCATCCATTCAAACCATAGATTAGTATCTGAAAACCCGGTCTCCACAGCCATAGTGTCTTCAAATGTGGTATTGGCAATGGCTACCATGTCTTTAAGGGTTTTAATATGTGGTTTTAGAGGGTTAATGGTCATGTGTGTGGAGTCTACCCAGTCAGGTGATGTAAGTATGTCTTGTAAATACAAGGTCCCTAACTTGTTATATGAGCCACCCCCTTTCCAATACATCCCCATTACGTACTCCCCAGCATCTCCTGGGCTGGGATGTTCTATGTTTAAGGTTAGCTTCATTGGGGTAGACCCTGTTGGCTTGCACAAGGTCATTCTGTATAACAGGGGTTTCCCATATCTGTCAACTCTATCTAAGGCACTTTGTGGTCTGTAGCCCCATGGTCGGCCCGTATTCCAACCCGCCGCTTTCCAGGTACTACAGTGTTGTCCCCAACGGTCACCTGTCACACAAATATATGGGTTCTTTTTGTTTGGTATTTCTTTGTATATTGCTGAGTGTTGTGATTGTGGAAAAGTACAAGAGACAATATCACAGTAATCAAAGGTAAAAGTAGCTACGTGTGTGTTTGAAGAATTATACCAAAATGTGTAAACAAGATTGTCTTTGGTAATAGCAACTTGTTGGGCCTTTGATAGGCCTAGCAGCAGAAATAGGCACAGGAAGCTCATGATTTGGTGGAATCCATTTCCTCTGGATCAGGAACTTTCTTGCAGTGCTAGGCGTGTATCCAGGTATTCTTGCCAGCCAACTTTACAGAGGTAGATGTAGTCAATAGGACTTGGAATGGACCATCGAACCTTGGCTCAAGAGTGTGTTTTCTTAGGAACTTCTTGACCATGACCCAGTCACCAGGAAGTAACTTATGTGTGCCTGTATTTGTCTCGGGATCTGGAATAGAAGAAAACACCTGTGCATGGATTTTGGTCAAGGCATGAGAGAGTGCAGTTATATAATCAACCATTGCATCTGACTGAATTTGAAGTTGCTGAGGAAAGTAACAGACTAACCTAGGTGCTGTTCCAAATAAGATTTCGTAGGGGGATAAGCTAAACCTCCCTCGTGGGGTGTACCTTACACTAACCAATGCTATGGGAAGACTCTCCAGGCAGGGTAGGTTAGTTTCTTGGGACGTTTTAAGCATTCTGGCTTTCAGAGTGCCATTCATGCGTTCTACCTTACTACTACTCTGTGGGTGATAGGGTGTGTGGAATGCAAGGGTCACCCCCAGTGCTGCCCAGATCTCCTTGGTTAGCAACACGGTGAAGGATGTACCCTGGTCACTTTCAATTACTTCAGGAACTCCGTATCTGCAGATGATTTTGGTAAGTAGACACTTTGCCGTGGTCTTTGCAGTGAGATTAGCGACCGTAAAAGCTTCTGGCCATCCTGAAAACATATCCACTATGACCAGTGCGTATCCAAACGGCCACTCTTTGGCATTTGGATATGATCAATTTGGATCCTCTGGAAAGGGTACTGTGGTTTGGCCAAATGGTTTGGTGCAGCTTTGATTATTTTCCCTGGATTACATCTGGCGCAGATAGTGCAGGATCTGCAGTAATTTCGTGTCAAGGTGGTGATTCCGGGTGCTTTAAAATATTTATCAATCAAAGAGTTCATGAGGTGCTTAGATAAGTGAGCTGGTCCATGGGCCCACTGAACGACAGAATTTGAGATTGATTGTGTATATTTCATTCTGAAGGGTTGCTCCTTTGTCTTTCCAGCTTTGTTTTTCTTAAGGGGTGGCGGCGGCCTATTGTTCTCTTAGGAGCTTGAGATCGGTGGGTAGGGTTTGCATAGTGTAAATAGGAGTCTTTTCGACGGACACTCTTCTGTCCACTTCCCGACACTGGCGTGCCGCATCCTTAGCGGCCCGGTCGGCTAAATCGTTGTCATGTGCTTCTTCTGAATTTAGTCTCCCGTGGGCCTTTACCTTCAGTATAGCCACCTCTTCAGGAAGTAGTAAGGCATCCATCAATTCTTTGATAGCTGCGCCATGTTTCACAGGAGTACCTGTTGCTGTAAGGAACCCCCTCGTTTTCCAGATTAAGCCAAAGTCGTGTGCCAAGCCCAGGGCATACCTTGAGTCTGTGTAAATATTAACACGCTTCCCTTCAGACATCTTGCATGCCACCATAAGGGCTATTAGTTTGGCTTCTTGTGCTGACTTAGATGATGGGAGTGAAGATGCTTGGAGTATTTGGTCCTCTGTGGTGACTGCATATATCCAGTATGAAATTGTCCCTGCACATCTGTGAATCTAGAACCATCCACAAACAGAGTGTAGTCAGGGTCAGGTAGAGCAGCCTTGTGCACTGTTGGGAGATGGGTTGTTTCCATTTTCATCTGTTCAAAGCAATCATGAGGGGCGTCCTGGTCCTGTTCTGTGGGAGGAATGTCTTCACATATCTCTGTGTGATATTGAGGGTAACCGACAGTTTTGCAATTTATGGTCCTTTTAGTGACCCCCGTCACTGTGAGTTGTTCTTGAGTTGCAGTACTCCATGTCTTGGCCATTGGGCCGAGTTCTTTCCATGAGAGATCTTGAGACTTGGTGAAAAATATATGAGGAACAGCAACCTCCCAATGGTGATATAAGTGTGATACCTCCATAGGCAGGTAGACTAAGATAACAATGTTTCCTTGGGAGTCACAGAACAGGTCTGTCAGTTTGATGTGTATTTCCTCCAGGCTGAATAATTCTTCTTCATAGCATGGGTCAGGACTTGGGGTGTCCCTGAACCACAGGGTGCAATGTAATTGGCTCTCGGGCTGTTCATCATGTGGAACTGTGGGCTTTTCTACTTGAAGTTCCAAGTGAACATCAGGATTTATGTCCAGGCTGTACCAGTATTGCGGCACTTCCCCCTTGGGAAGTGGTAGAAGAGTGGCCGGATTCAAGGAGTAACATCTTTGTAAAGAAACGTTATCAGGCAGGAGGAGGGAGGTTTGAAGGCGGAGATGTCTCTGAGATGCTTGGGCTGGACTTTATTCAGGATTGCAGCGATATCATGGGGAGCAAGAACTGTCAGTTTATGTCCGAGAACAAAGTAATTAGTTTTGTCCAGTAGGGCACTTGCAGCAAAAACAGCACGCAAACAGGAAGGACCACCCCTGGCCACAGGGTCTAGCATGCAGGAAAAGTACCCAATAGGGCGCTGACGGGAACCGTGGGATTGAGTAAGGACCCCTGAAGCATGGCCCATCTTTTCTGAAACGAAAAGTTTGAACGGTAGCTGGTAGTTAAGTAGGCCCAAAGCAGGGGCAGAGAAGATGACTCTTTGAAGAGCATGGTGACAGGTGCGGGCTGTAGAGGACAATGAAAAAGGTTCAGTCTTTAAAGCATCGTAGAGAGGTTGCATGAGTTGAGAAGCCTCAGGGATCCAACACCTGCAGTATGTGATGAGGCCCAAGAAGGCATGAAGAGCCAGATGGTTAGACGGAAGGGAGAGATTTGTAATGGCAAGTACCCTGTTCCTCATTAGGTGACGGGTGCAATGGAAAGGCAATGTCCCAAGAAGACCACAGAGGGCCGGCACCACTGGAGTTTCTTCTTGGAGGCTTTACAACCTTCATCAGTGAGGAAACAAAGGAGATCTTCAGAATTCTGTTCTGCAGTTGGAAAATCATCCGCACAGAGAAGTAAATCATCTACATACTGGAGCAGGACCATGTCTGGGTGGGACTTCTGCCAGGGTTCTAGTACAGCTGACAGCTTTGGTGAATTGGGTTGGGGAATTTTGTGCTCCTTGAGGCATGACAGTCCAAGTATACTGTTGATGATCGTGTGTGAAAGCAAACAGATATTGATAAGAGGGATCCAAGGGCACGCTGAAAAAGGCATTTGCAAGATCAACCACCATGAAGAAATTAGCTGCTGGAGGAACCAGTGACAACAGTGTATGTGGTTTAAGGACAACAGCAGTATCGCGATTTGTGACTTCATTAACAGCACGGAGGTCTTGGACCATACGGTATTGGTCTGGTTGACCTTTTTCAGTTTTCTTCTTTACTGGAAATAGAGGGGTGTTACACTGTGATACACACTTGACTAGTGCATCTTTTGCAAACAGGCTATCAACTTGTTTGGAGATGGCGAGAGCTTGTGCAGGTTTCAATGGGTACTGTGGTCTTCGTGGTGGATTAGCTCCCTTAATTAGTGTAACTACCACAGACAGGTGGGACTCGTAGGCGTCCAATGTCATCTGAGCCCGTGGACCAAAGTTTAGTTGGAACCCTATCCAGGGCACTGGGGGCGTCTGGGACCCTTACTTCCTCGTGGGGGATGTCATATGTAGTAGTAGGGGCAGAGAGCAAAGGACGGAAGTATCTTTGCGAGAAAGGGGGGTTAGTAATTGAACCTGGCCATCAGCAGTAAAGGAGATAGAAGCTTGAAGACGAGACAGAACATCTGCTCCTAAGAGGTTAATGGGACAGGTGGATGAGACAACAAACCGAGAGAGAATGTCAGAACCAACCCGCAAGAGCTTAGTTAATGGGTTGTTTCTGGAGGTACCATTGATACCTACACAAGAAACATCTGTATCGGATAGATAAGATGGGTCAGGCAGGTCTTGTTCTCTGAGAACACTGCAGGCTGCACCTGAGTCAACTAAAAAGGTATTATGATGACCCTCAACTGGTAGGACAACTGTAGCTAGGGGTCCCCCCTTGTCCCCTGTAGACACTGCCATGACAGGGGTGTTAGACACAGGTTTGCCGGTTACCTATTGTACAAGGTCTAGATGAGATTGATCAGGGCCAGTGTAATGACGTGCTGGTGTGGTGGAGTGGCTGGACTGATGAGTTTGACGTATAGAGCTTCTTCTCAACCTCTGCAATATCGGTCTACAAGATATTGATCTCTCCTGGTGCTCCTCCTACCTCTCCCAGCGCTCTTTCAGTGTTTCTTTCTCTGGCTCTGCTTCTTCTCCCCAACTCCTCTCTGTTGGTGTCCCTCAAGGTTCAGTCCTTGGTCCCCTACTGTTCTCCATCTATACTGCCTCCCTTGGTAAACTCATTAGCTCCTTTGGTTTCCAATATCATTTCTATGCAGATGACACGCAAATCTACCTGTCCTCTCCTGATCTCTCCCCGTCCCTCTTGACTAGTGTCTCTGACTGCCTCTGCTGTTTCTAACTGTATGGCTGCCCACTTCCTTAAACTAAACTTGACCAAAACTGAAATTCTGGTCTTTCCTCCCTCAAGTGTTGTTACTCCTGTGTCTGTCTCCCTCCAAGTCAACGGTGCTACCATCAGCTCCACCACGCAGGCTCGCTGCCTAGGTGTTCTCTTTGACTCCGACCTCTCCTTCAAGCCTCATGTTCAATCTATCGCCAAATCCTGTCATTTCCATCTCAAAAACATTGTGCGCATCCGTCCCTACTTAATGCCAGATGTGACTAAGGTGTTGGTCCAGTCCACTGTCCTTTCTCGCCTTGACTACTGTAATACGCTTCTCATTAGTCTTACGTGCTCCCAACTAGCGCCATTACAGTCCATAATGAATGCGGCTAGACTTATCTTCCTGTCTGCCCGCACCTCCCATGCCTCACCCTTCTGTCAGTCCCTACATTGGCTTCCTATAAAATATAGAGCTCAATATAAAATTCTGGTTCTTGCTTTCAAATCGGTACATAATGCTGCTTCCACCTATCTATCCTCCCTTATACACAAGTATGTCCCGTCTAGGCCCTTATGATATGCTGAAGACTTATGTCTATCTTCTGTCCGTACTCCCACCTCTGATGCTCGCCTTCAAGATTTCTCGAGGGCTGCACCGTTCCTGTGGAACTCGCTTCCCTCCTCCGTTAGATGCTCACCCAGTCTC